AAAAGCTCTGAAAGCTGAATAAATAAGTTTGTTAGGATAGGACAATATTTGGCCGAGACACAACTATTTGAAAATCTGGAATCTGAGGGTGCAAAAAAATCAAAATACTGAGAAAATCGCCTTTAAAGTTGTTCAAATTATCTTCATGGAACTTAATATCCTAATGATTTTTGGCATAAAAGAAAAATCGGTAATTTTGACCCATACAATGTGTCTACAAATATGCTACAAATATACCCCAGCGACTTAAGACTGCTTTTGTGCTCCAGGGTCACATATGTTAAACTAGTTCTTGACAAGCATATTTCATCAGTATATTGAATTTTTTAAATAGTAGTGTTGTTGTCACAAAATGTCATTTTAAGAGCTCTAGGCAAGAATGTATTTGTTTACAATGTACACTGAAATCTGAGGTACATTTATAAATACAGCACCCATTTGAAAATTTGCTCCAGTGTTTTCAGAGTTGTGAGGACCAAGCGATCACCGGACGATCCACCGAGAACAACCTTATCTCAGCAAGTCCTTCTGACATTTGCCGCTGGCTCAGATGTCTCTGTAGTGGTTAAACATGAGATAGAATTAATTTGGGGTATATCTAATGCTTCACTTCATGGAGATCAATGCATTGGCCTATGGCTGAATCACAGCTGTGGTGAAACAGAGCCACATCCCATTTACCAGCATGTAGCTTAAGATGTACCGAAAACATTGCAGGGTGGTGTGAGATAATGAATTGAGTGAGAAAGAGACTATGACAAAAATAACAGGAGAGAGCGGTGATTGGCTTGTGGAGGCAGTCAGCAGTTTGCAGCCATCCTATTGCATCATGGGAATCGCTTTAAAAAGATTGTGAAAGGTGTTAGTGTAGATACACGCTTCCTTTTTCGGATTAGAGCTATTCTCGGAGTGACCTGATGCTGTGGCACGCAGTCGCGCTGTTGTCTGTGTGCATCGGTCTGTGTGATTTGGCTCGAGTCATGAATGCCCTGGGACACATCAACTTCCTTCTCCATTTACAGACACCCACGGTTTGCAGATGAGACTCTGGCGGTGCTAATCTGGAGGCAGTGGTGGTGAATGAACATGCCTCTTTTTGAGGGCATGAGTATAAAACATTTTTAATCTCCCAGCTCTCTTAATTGGTCCAGATTTACAGAAGATATGAAATGCCCTTTTACCACCATACAGACTAATATTTTCTACATTAGTTTCCTTTCGTCAGGCTACAACATAAAGACAAAAATACAAAGCTGGTGTCTGAAAGTAGCAACACTATTAAGCAGAGATGGAAACTGTGACTTGGACTCGAGTCACACTTAAGTCTACACTTAAAAATTTACTTGAGACTTGAGCCCTGTTCACACCAAGAACGATAACTATAAAGATAACGATATTAGCGTCCACACCAGCGGACGATATCGTCTGTTTATTCTAAGCGCACGCTCATCTGCCGCTTTAAATTCTCGAGCTCGTTATAGCAGGATTGATTCTGATTGGCTGTCAATGTTTTTATTGTTCATCAGCTGGGAAAAATCGTTTTGAAAATGATTCAAACAATATCGTTTCTCTGTGCCTTTATCGTTATAGCTGTGGTGCTGTTCTTTAATATTGAGAACGATTTTTAGAACTATATCTTTATCGTTATCTTTATAGTTATCGTGCTTGGTGTGAACGGGCCTTTAGACTTGAAAACAGAGACTCGTCAAAAAGACAAGTCATTGCCAATTATATTCTCTCTTTCACAGCATCAAACACCGTATTTTTCTATTCATTCATTCTCTATCAGTATGTTCTGCAACAGCAAATAGCACAGCAATTCTTCTCTAAACACACTGAGTCTGCATTATTGAGACACGTTCAAATATACGACAATATAGCATAGGCTTACCTTGTGAAATTATTCATGTCATTTAAATTGCAAAAAAATTTAAAAATGCATAAAAATGCAATCCAGTGTTTTTCCTTAATCACCTTCTCTGGCGGCCGCCACAGTTTCATAATGAACGGAAGATGTTTTTACACTTCTCTTAATAACATAAACTGTCTTTGAAGTTATTGCTTTGGCAAAGCATCTGTCAAACAAACTAAAATCAAAAGCGTGATGTGGCTTAGAATGCTTACCATATCGCGAAAGGCTTCAGTTGCACACAACGCCGACAGTTACGCATTATTTTCAGATTTGCATGATTTCCAAAATTATTGTAGTTGGATTATTACAGTATTTAACCAGATTTGTGATGAGACACATTTGTAAACCTGTTTTCACTGAAACTGCAAGTTTCTGCATGAAAAAAAAGAATCAGCAAGTGAAGAAATTAAGACAAAAAAAGTATAGTTTGCCTATTGTAAAACTGTATAATATATGTATTATAAAATATTCATTTTTCATTACATTTATTTTACATTGCAGTTGTATTACAGTATAATATATTACTGTATACTACTACTAATATTAATAAAAAATATAATTATTATATTCTAATTGTTTGGCTATTGCTAAATACAGAATAGACTTGACTTGGATTTAGACCTCAAAGATTTAGACTTGGATTGGACTTGGACCTTAGGGACTTGTGAACATGTCTGCTATTGAGTTAACATTTTTTCAGTAGTTTGGTCATTCATCTGTTTTAAAAAGAGTGTTGTGCCTAAGAAAGATCAGTCACTGAATTACGGCTAAACTGCAATCTCCCAGCCTGACCAGCTAAAAAAGTGTTCAAAACCCCTCTGAAACCAGGCTGAAATAACCAGATTGTACAGTATAAGTATTCTGACCTGTAATTCAGCTCTAGCGGTGATTAGCGCCTCAAGTCTTTTTGGATATGATTCAACAAGCTTTAATCATCTGGGGATTTTCTGCCATTTTTCTCTGCATATCCTTTGAAGCTGTGTCAGGTTGGATGGGGGCTGCCACTGGACAGACATTTTCAGGTTTCTCCAGAGTTTCTCAAATCCGGGCTCTGGCTGGGCCACTCAATATTCACAGTCATCCCTAAAACACTTTTGCATTGTCTTGGCTTGCTTAGGATACTTGTCCTGTTGGAAGATGGACCTCTGGCCCAGTCTGAGGTCCTGAGCGCTTTGGACCGAGTTTTCATTGAGAATTTGTCTGTATTTTCATTTGTTCATCTTTACTTCTACCATGACCAGTCCTCCCGCGCCTCTTCACTGTTGAGATGCCATTGCACAGGTGATGAGTGCTCCAAGGTTTTCTGACAGCATTTAAAACCCATTACATCTAAATTTGATTTTATTCCAGTAAGCCTTTTCACTCAGGCTCTTGATGACATTGGATCATGTATTCTATCTACCATAAACAAGCCTGTTGACAGAACCATTACGTACATGAATGTTAGACCCGTGTTGAAAAGTCTTATCTAATTTTAGGCCAATTTCTAATTTCTAATTCTCTGTCCAGTTTTTTTGAATCCAGTAGTGTGTTTGAAATCTCTCACTATGGGTTTAGGAAGCACCACAGTGCCAGAAAAGAATCTGCTCTTTTATGTGCGTTAACTTATGTATTCTTATCTGTTTATTTCAGGGCACTTTGCCCTCAGCTGATTCAAATCCTATCTGAAGTAGAGAACTTTTTCAGTCTGTGTCGATGTTTTTTTTTCCCCCTCACAAAATCAGTTTTGACCTGTGGGGTCCCCCAAAGCTCTATTCTTGCCCCTATTTTATTCTCTTCTATACTGATTTTTAACAAACACAGAGTATTGTTTCATTGCTATCCTGACTACACTCAAATTTCTGTGTCTTTTAGGCAAAGCGGCATCATTAATCTCAGCTCTTACCTCCGTGTGTCTGTAGGATATGAAAGCTGGGATGCCCTTAAACTTTTTGATTTCAATTTTTAAAGAGAGTAAGACTACGGCAATAGTGTTTTGGCCTGTAGCTACAGCAGGTAGCATAAATCAAATGTTGGATATCTTGGCCATGTTAAATGCTCAGGAAAAACAAAAAGGGATGCATTTGATTCTACTTTGAAATATGATGAGCAGATAAATGCAGTGGTAAACTAGTTTTTTGCAGTTAAAACTCTTAGCAAAGGTTAAGTGCTTTTTAGCCTTTTCAGAGTTTGAAAAAGATATACATGCTTTTATCTCATCTCGTTTAGAT